TGTGGGTGCTCGCAGGAGGCCTGCGGCAGCTGGGGTGCGTGGCACAGGGGGTTATCCGGCACCGGGCCCACCTGCTCCTCCACCTCCAGCGTCAGGTTGGGGCCGGAGAGCTGGTAGAGCCGGTTGACAGCCGCCAGGTAGATCTTGCTGCCCGGCCCGTCCAGAGCGAAGTTGTTGGTCAACGTGGGCGAGAGGAACTTGTGCTGCACCTCCAGGCCGGCGTTGGGGCTGGCGAGGAGGGCCAGCAGCAGCAGGAGGGGGGTTAGCACCTTAGCGCCTCTCTCCCCGGGAGTCATCGCGTGGGGGCTGGGGAGGAGGGCCAGCAGCAGCAGGAGGGGGGTTAGCACCTTAGCGCCTCTCTCCCCGGGAGTCATCCTGCCGCCTGGGCTGCTGCTCTGCAGAGTGCATGAGGCTCCACGGGAAAGGGGGCTTTGCAAAGCCAGGGGAGGAAAACCTGCTTCCTGCGAAGCCAACACGCCTCAGCACTGAGTGACGCCAGGAGGGAAGTCCGGAGCTTTTGTTGCAATCGCAGCCTTTGCCTGGTTACTGGACCTTCCTCTCTCTCTCTCTCTTCTCGCCAGCGCGGAGATCGGATGGGGTTAAACTCCCGATCTCGTCTTTGCAAAAAGCAGCACCCTCCCCTCTCTCTCTCTCTCTCTCTCTCTCTCTCTGACAGCTCCGCTCTGCCTGTGAAGCGATCCGCCGCTCTCAGACTTCTCCTCTCTTTCGCTTCTCTCCTTTCTGCATTACTCATGATGTGTGTTTTTTTTTAATTTAGGGTTTGTCATGTGAATATGATTAAGTTAAAGATATTTTCCAAAAGCTGGAAGGCAAACGTCGCACCAGCCAACCACACAAAGAGACAGCCCTTGTTCCTTGATAGCAGCTCTTCTAACAAATAACTCTTGTGTTTGTGTGTGTGGGGGGGGGGGGGGGGGGGTCGTGTTTCTAATCAGAATATGGGACTGAAAGGGAGATAAGAACTTTTTCTCGTCCGGACATAAAGCAAGATTGCAACCATAAGTAAAAATAACCAAACAACATTCATTTTTGCCGACCCACTCCTATCCAGTCTTCCCTCTCCCCCCCCCCCACTTCCCACAGTCAAAATAGGTTAACTCTCAGTGCTCTTGAAGTATTGCACTCCCCATAAAGAAGTTGTACAAGAAAGGATAACAAAGAAGAGAGGTCAGACTGTCTGGAGTTGGGGGTCAGGGATAAATTAAGTGGACAAATATTTCAAGTATGTAAGGGTGGGGGGATCTCTACCAATCCCACTGTATTTCAGTCACTGGCGCCATGCACTGCTTGTTGTTTTAATTCCCTCTGTTGCAATGGAGATGTGTTTGCACTGAGCTGCTCTTTATTTAATGTGCTCAAGAAAAGCTGACATCCCCCAAGCTTGAAATCTTCTACTCATTCCCAGGGCAGGTATAGCACAGGCAGCAGAATTCCCTGACACTGCTCTGATAATGTTCCTGAATCCTATCCAAGAAGACTTAGGAATGAGAGCTTAGTAGGGATCGGGTTGGGGTAGTATACCTCTTCCATCTGCACCCACAAAATAAACTCTGCACCTGTGAGTTGCTGCTCACAGTAGATTGTGCAGGTGTTCAAATTATAATTGTGCATATTCTTTGAGCTCCATTGGGCATCTTGTGCTTGGTTTATTTGCATTAGGTACCCTATGGAGATAACACTCAGTTGTGCAGGTCAGAGGTCCTCTCTCTTCTTTCAGATGGCTTTTCTACACAGAAAAGTTATACCAATATTAGTTAAGGTGTGAAGTTAAACTAATATAGTGAAACTAGCGTAATGCCTACATGGACCCCCATTCCAGTGTACAAGTACCTTTATTGCTTTAGGATAGGTTTAAAAGAACCCCTCCACTGCAAAAAAGCAACTCTGATACTGGACTAAATGTTTACATGGAGTTTAAATCAAGACAGTTATACTGATTTAACTATATACTTATACCACTATATATGGAAATTTTTTACAAGATAGACAACCTCTTACATGTAGAATGAAATAGTTAACAATTCTGACACAAATTATCATCACTAGACCTCTGAGTTTACCCCTCACTAAAATTCAGGGTTTTAGAACTAATGTTCTAATCTGCAGGCTTTCTGCAGATTGACATAGAGATCTCTGCCTCAGTTACTGAGTGCATGTTGATAACGTTTACTGTGCACTCCTACTAGCTAGAAACTGATTTATTTTTTTGAATGAAAACAGATCAGAATTAAGAGGTATTTGTATGCCAATATTGGCTGAATGTATGCCCTGGCATTCAGTCTCTCTTTCACTTTCATTGACCTTTCTACAGATTTTCCCAATTTGGAGAAGTTTTGTGTGTGTGATGTGAGCACCCATCCTCTGAAAATAAACTGAAACCCATACCAAACTCATTTAATATAATCACTAGTTGCTAACAATGGGCTGATTGTTTTCTCCCTCAGGAAAATCAGCAGGATAACACTAATGTGGAGAAAATCTCAGCAAGATTTCTTCCTAATTGTTCCATCAGAGGAAGAAGGGTAAGATTGTCCTGGGACTGGGTTGTCTTATCACTCTTTCAACTTAAGCTGGAAGGAAATGAGGTAGCTCCAAGCCCCACTTCTTGTCTGCTCACTCCCCAGTGTGGAGCCACAGACTTATCGAGCGTCATCTCTGAGATCAGAGGAGGACTGAAGTGTCCTTCATTCTTGTAGTTGTATATTGTCACAATAATTGCTGTACATCTTAAGGCCTTGGTCCCCACAGTTCTTTGGAAGTGTAAGAATCTTTGTTTCTCTAGGAAAGTTTCTATCACTTGTGGTTCTGAAAAAAATCTTGGAAACATAATCTGTTAGTTAATGCCTATTACGCCCGCTGGTGTGTAGGGCAGCAACGAAGGTTCTCCATTTTTTGTTTGTCTTTGGCCATTTTCTCCAGTGTGTCCCAGTTGTAATTCATTCTCTTCATGTCTGACTCAACAGTACGCCGCCATGTTGTCTTGGGGCTCCCATGTTTCCGTCGTCTTTCAGGCGTCCAGTGAAGTGCTATCTTTACAATGGCATCTGCCTCCCTTCTCATCACGTGCCCTATCCATCTCCAGCATTTTCTCATAATGATAGTTGTCATGAACTCCTGGTGGCATCGCAGGAGCAGGTCGTGGTTGGAGATTGCATTTTTTGGCCGAAAACAATGTATCTTACGAAGGCTGGTGGTGTGAAAGGATGAGAGTTTGGCACGGTTGCACTCTGTCATCTGCCAGCACTCTGAGCCATATGGTAGTGTTGATATGACACAGCTCTGGTACAGCTTAAGCTCTAGCACACCTTAAATAAACCAAATGGTAAATAAAATAATACTTATATGTATTATCTTGGTGCCTTCTTCCACTAGGGAAGGGTGTGAGTTGTGCATTGAGAGGCCTAACCATGCATAGATCAGGGGCAGGTAGTTAGGTCTGATGTTTGGTCACTAGACTCCTGGCAGGCTCATACTAATAGATTCTGTGCCTCTCTTTCAATATCGGGAGCCATCCCTGTGCCTGGGCTGTTCTCATGTTACTTCAGTTATTTTCACTTATACAAAACATATAATTGAGACTGATGGGGATTTTGGATTACTCGTATTCTGGATAGAAATGTCCTCTGTTGTCTAATCTCATTTCTACACCTGCTAGCTTCCTTCACCCCTTTCATGTCCCTTTCACCCATTTCAGAGCACTAATTAATACATAACTGCAATAACCATGCGATGTTCACTGAAGATGTGCATAGAATTAAATAGTGCTTTCTCATTAACTCATTGTCCTTGCTAATCATAACTATCCATTACAGATATTGGTTCTTTTTAAAAAGATTGTTTGGGGTTTTTTATTTTCAAATTTTAAATACTAGAGTATCATTAACTCCCCAGAACTAAACTCATGCTCTAAAATATAACACTACATTATATTTAGCACCTTCCATTCTAGGATGTCAAGGGCTTTATAAATGCTGGCTAATTAAGCCCTAAGTGTGAGGCAGGTAAGTATCATTATCCATATTTTACAGAAGGAAAAGCTGAAGCATGGAGGTCTTCATTTTCCAAAAAATTGACGAGTTATGTAAATGCTTCTCTTTTGGGGAGCCCCATCCCATAATCTGTCTTTTTTAGGGTTTCCTACCACCACTCATTACCACGATATCTGGTCTCCTTCCAAATGAGATGACCCTTTTAAAGGACCTCATATTAGACACCCAAAATTTTAGGCAACCAAAATAACAAGTAATATCTGAAAATTTAGCCCCAGGTGAATAAGTGAGTTGCCCAAAAGCATATAGTTACTGGCCTTGTCAGGGTTAAAAGCCAAGCATCCTGACTTCCAGTTTACTGTAATGACTACTTTCCTACACTGATATAGTTTAAGCCAAAATATTGGTAGTATTGCAAGATTATCAGGTAAATATTTCATTTTTGTTGTTGTCAGGAAACAATCCTCTGACGAGATGCTTTGAGGATGATTTTTTCCAGAAATGCTCATTCCCATTATTACTAGTGCAATTGGAATCCCTAAAGAATATGTTCAGATAATGCTATTAATAGAGGAGTTTTAATCTCCACTATGCAGCTCGTAGTATTTTTCTTTGTTCAGAAAGGAATGAAGGTCCGAAAACAACCAACAAAAAAAACCTGTCCATGCCTCCGAATTTGGACAATTACCCCCGGCCAGAATCTGTTTCTGTTTGACACTTATGCAGGTTAAAAGATAACATCTTTTTAGACAGGGGGAGGGGGAAGTGTGTGTGGGGGCAGGAAAGGTGTGTGTGTGTGTAACAACTCAAAACCATTTTAATCATTAATAAATATATTTACCCAAGCACAGATGTTCTATAGAGAGAACATGAGTTACTCATGCACTTACTCAGGTTATATTGACTCAACATTGTCAAACAGCAGGCTCTGTGTCTAGCCCTTTTACTATGCTGAGTACAAACATCTATTTATTTTCCTGGTTTTAGCAGCAAGCTACCAGAGCACAGCTTGACTTTAGGGGGACAGCTCACAATTCCATGTTGGAAATGAACTGGTTTGACTCAGCAGACCCAAATAAATAACCCACCAAGCTGACCATTTGGAAGAAAGAAAGAAAGAGACTGGTTTCTAGATATAACACGTCATTCAATGTGTGACACTGCCTAGAATCAAGTGAGTTCTCCAGCATTCAGTGCTGTTTGTCTCTCACACCATGTCTTCCGTAGCATGGTGGCTATGTTAGGGATAGAAATTCTAAGAGAGTGTCTGTAGCTTAGTACACGGA